CTTCGACCTGCTCACGGTTCACTGCGTTTTTTCTTGAAATGGGACTGACTTGTTTTGAGCCGTTTGAAGTGAGATTCTTCAAATGGGAATGACTTGTTTTGAACCGTTGGAAGTGAGACTGGCTTCTTACGAACCTAAGATATGTCTTTTCACTCGCCTCTGTCCATTTACATCTTCGCACGCTCGCATCCACAGATCTACATCTCCACCTCCATACATCTACACATCTGTATCGCACCTGCACATCCACACTGTCACTCCTTCACGTCCATCCTTTCTTCTCTCTTTTTGTATATCTTTTCCACAGTGCTGGACAATCACATGTCTCGCTCTCGGGCCACGCGTCGTTTAGTTTTGTTGTTAGTGATCTATTTTTATGACAACTTTCTGAAGTGCCTTTATGAGCCAATCTATTTTCATGTTTCTTGATGAAAGGTATGAATTTTAATGAACTATTTTATGAGTTCTTGATGTGCTCAACAAATCATACAAAATTCATAAACAAACAAACAATTCATTAAAAAAACATATGTTTCATTTCAATAATGAAGAACTATTGATTTTTCTGATTCTCAACAAAGCGTAAGAAGTAAAACAAAATATTTTTTGAACATTTTATGAACAAATTATGTATTTTCTTCAAAAAATTCAAAATTTCTATGATAGATTTATGATTTTTTTGGATTTTGTCGATTTCCTGATTTGTTGAAAATAAAAAACAAATAAAAAACAATAACAAAATATAGAAAATAAAACAACTTAAAACATCATGAAAAAACAAAAAATTCAAAAATAACAAACATGAGGACCCATTAGTTTCATAAATATTCATTGAAAGCAATCATAAAAAAATAATCAACTGAACAAATCTTGGGCTGTCTTCCTGACACCAGGCCCTGCTCCAGCAAGGCCTGAACCTTTGCAGATGCTGGCAGCGCAACCAAGACAACCAGATCGGGTACTGAATGTGTAGTTGAAAGAAGGTGGAGACAGTGTTGAAGACAGACCTCAACGAAGTGAAGCGGAACCAGTGGAAGAACCCCGCCTTGCAGCTCTGTCAGAAGGTGAGACTTCATGGGAAACAAGACAGGCTGGACACATTTTCACGGATTGGAATCCAGAGCTTGGGAGGATGGAGGACTATTGTGTGCTCAATGGCTCAGACAGTGCAGAAATCGGTGAAGAGTACTTCGTGCAGACACCAGAAGGCCATTGCCGCAGAAGGTATCAACCAACGACGTCAAAGATTGATGATGAGAGCTTGGATTATGCCAACTACAGGATGGAAGTGGACCAGACAGCAGATCACCAAGACCCAAACCAAGGGGGTGAAGCTGCGGCCTTTGACCGAAACAATCCACCCATCAATGCTGATTGGTGGGATATGGAGACGTTGCCGAAACAGAAGGAGGAGCAAGAACAGAGAACTCGGAGACTCAAGACGAGACTCGTGAAACGATATCGTAGTCTTGGATAAACTTTAGAAACTATCTAGTTTCGGGTGTCTTGAGAATATCTTCATTGTGTGCGCCATTTTTACTTTCAAGGGCGGGTGCGGTGGGCGCCACTAAATTGGTGGCCTCGAAGATTCATGCAAAGCATGAAGGGGGGAATGCCATGGAAACGATAGATGATATTGAAGATATGGACGAAGAGGACTTTTTGCCAGAGTTGATTCCAATAGATTTCGGAGAGGGCGATTTTTCATTTCAGGATGACCTTGCTGAACGTGAGCTGCACTTGTCAGGTGACCCCCCTATCCTTTCAGGACCGGATGAGGCCATCGATCTGGGGGGACTGTCGGGAGCTCTGGATGAAGTATCTAGCCATCATGACTTTGAAGATGTCACGATCGGTGGTACAAATAGTTTGAGAATTGAACAGAGTGACTGGGCATTGACTGTCAATCACAACGTTTGAACGTTTCAAAGCTCGTGACACTGCTCTTACATTACCGTGGGAGCAGCCTATGATGAGCGGGATCTTTGGAAAGAGTGCTGACCTCAAACTCCCGGAAATACATGGAATTGCGATTGAAGAACGTATTGATGGTTCACAGAGTTCTGTTCCGTCCTTGATTAGTGGCGAAGTTGAGTTGTGTGGACATGCGGCTTATTTGAAAGCCGTGACGAACGTGATGGATCTTGACTATTTCGAGGACAAACGTGTTCAGACTGAGCTTGCATGTGCAAAATGGATGGACATTCTTTCGGTGAACTGGGACGTTTGGTTCAATCCAATAAGACCAGGATGATCGATGACTTTTCAATTTCAGGGGTTAATGATTCGTGCACCATTCACTCGAAGATTGATTTGCATATGATCAACACGCTTGGATCAGTAATCAGGAGATACTTCAGGTTGAGCAGTGAGCTGCAGGCTGACAGCAGGCTGTGGGCAAAGACGTTCGACCTCAAGAGTGCCTATCGTCAAGTTCCCATAAAGACGGAGCATTTGCGTTTTGCCTTTTTCAGCATCTACAGCTGTGAAACTCAGGCTGCAGAGATATAGCAACTGCTGACTCTGCCGTTTGGGGCCACCCATTCGGTCTATGCATTTTTGCGCCTAGCACGAATGTTGCACACCATTGCAGCTTGTTCTCAACACCAACTTTTATGACGATTTTGTTCTGCTCTCGCGACCAGAGTGCAGCAAATCAGCAAACCTGTCCATGGAGGTCCTCTTTATGTTGACTGGATGGGACTTTGCCAGGGATGGCAAGAAACATACTGACTTTGGAGCACTGTGTTCGGCCTTGGGAGTCGAGTTCAACTTGAGCAAATCCGAAAGCAGGTTGGTCAGCATTTACAACACTGAACAAAGAAGACTTGACCTTGTGTGCAAAATAGCTGAAGTTCTGAAATGCGGAGAGTTGTCCAAGCACGACTCCCTTGTCCTGAGAGGAAGATTGGGATTCGCAGACAGTTTCCTACATGGGCGGTTAGGTAACCTCACTCTCAAGAAACTCGTGGACCATGCCTATTCCCGTCAGAGGATCCTGGACTCCGGCACCAAACAAGCTCTTTTGGCCATGAAGATGAGGCTGGAACAGAACAAACCGGTGGAGCTTTCTGACAAAGAGGTAGCGCAATGGTTTCTGTACACTGATGCTGCGTATCATGTCTCTGACAAGAATGGTGGACTTGGAGCTGTTCTTGTGGATGCAAGCGGCACTTGTGTAGCATGGTTCGGCTTCGTGCTGGACGTCGATGACTGCACTGCGTTTGGTAGCTGCAACAAACAAACCATTATATACGAGCTAGAACTTCTTGCCGCTGTTTTGGCCTATTCGGTATGGTCTGGAGTGTTAAAAAACCACATGATCACCTGGTTTGGAGACAATGACAGTGTAAGGTTTTCGCTAATCAGAGGTACTGGCACAGGGAGCTGGGGAGAATCTTTGATGGAGTTACCACCTTAAGAACGAAGTCGATCTCAACGCTTTGTCGTGGTTCGCTAGAGTACCAACTGAAGCGAACATCAGTGACTGGCCTTCACGAATGTGCAAACACGAATTGCTTAAAGACCTTGATGAATGTTCCACACTTGCACGTGAAGAATTTTTGAGTTTAAAGAATTTTGTACAGTTGTATGTTCGGGAGCTCGAAACAGAAAGGGGGAGTTGATGTCGAGCCCCCATTGTTGCAAAAAGAAGAGTTCCTTCTGCGTGAGCGTTCAAGACACCAAGCTTGTCTAGGACGGAGTCAGGAATTTTTCCTGTGAGTCTTTTGAAGTTCCTGAGGACACGGCTGGCAACACTCAGCGAGGTTCCCGCACATGGCGTTTGACCACATCTTGAGCTGGACGGCGCAAGAACGCAGATGTTTCGCCCATTTCGCGGTGGTCGTTTGCAGTGGCCAGTGGGAGACGAATTGGGACGAGCACGTGGCCCGGTACATGGAAACCACTGATTTGTAGAGAAAGGAGAGCATTAATTGTTTTCTTGGGGTGTGTAAAAAGTTTCATGGGACTTCATTCAGCCTTTTCACGCCGGCCAATGAAGTGGCCCAAGATCCCTTGGAGGAAAACCGGCCGTGCGTGTTTTTCATTTTGAGAAGGAGAGTAGCTGCTGGACAGACGTGTTGATTTTGCATTTTCCATGTTTGAGCAGCCCAAGTGCTCGACCAGACAATGAAAGTTGAGAACATCAAAATGACACCGATATGGAACAAAAAGATTAAGATCGAATCAGAAGGTACATGAATACAATACAAGAAGAAACATCAGGCGCAAGACCAGTTGGAATTCTTGATGGACGCAGTGTTTGGACAACATTTGCACCACTTTAGTTGGAACGCGAGTGAGGGAAATTGATCATTTTTGCGTGCCACAACCAAGGCAGGAATTAATGATATTACGTTATGTACAATGCACTGTTTTGGATTTCAATTTGCATGGGTGCGCCGTTGCACCAGCTGAACCAACTGTAGCGAAGCATCCAAGCACAGCAAAACATGTATGGAACTTTTTGGGCAATTGACTATGAAGAGCAAACATTGGCAGAGCTTGTAGAGTCTTGTTGAAGAATGATGCAATCATATCGGAAAGGGACATATCAACTGACATGTGGAGACAACAATTGTTGGACAGGTTTTACTGGTGGTTGCAATGATAGCAGTGTCCAACAGCAAAACTGAGCCGCCAAACTTTGAGGCGTGTCTGTTTTAGGCATTCATACCTGTATAGATGACCATGTTTGATCAATCCTGTGCTGTGACACTGATCAATTGCGCAACCAAATCGATGCTGACGCTGCTCAAGCTCGTGCCCATGTTTGTTTTTACATTGAACAGTGTAGTTGGGGCCATACAAGTCCGTTGATTTTTTTGGTGAAATGTATGTCGCAGAACCAGGATGTTGCTTGAAAATTGATCATGATTCAACGGTGGCAGGTGACTGCTTGTATTAGGTTTTCAAACCACATTGTTCTGCATTTGGTTGGGGGTGGCCATAATCACCCCCTTGTGGTAAACCTGATCGAAATTCACAAAGCGAAGAATTGCCTGTGTTGAAAAATCCTCACAGCCCTGCCGTGCGTGCGCCATGGGCAGAAGTGATTCACGGAGCAGGTTGCCACGGTGCGATGTCCCAGGTCTCAGCGATGGCTTCCAATTCTTAATTAAGCCCGCTCCTACTGAATTCAGTAAGGTGGTAGTTCATTACCAGGCCTTGGCTAGGTTTTCTAGGTAGGACGCAGGATAGTTCACGTTCCTGCAAGGAAACTACCCCGGCCGGCCTAAAGGCGGCGAAGGGGAGCTTCCTTGAAGAAGCGCTCGCACCATTGTTCATTTGGTTCCTAGACTTTTAGGGAAAACGGTTTTGTTATTTGAGAAAACATTGGAAAACATGACTGTTGACAAGGTGGGCCAACATGTTGAGGCAGCGTTTCAGGTATTTCAAGAAGTCAAATCGATGGTCATGTTTCCAGAAACACAAAACCAATGGTTGCAAACTGTTTAGGAACAGGAGAACTAGGTTCAAACACGTGAGGCACAACTCTAAATTGCAGGTTCAATGTAGATTACTGTAGGATGGAGGTCATCACTAGTAGGTTGGAGGCCATCGCTCTTGGGTTGGAGGCCATCGCTAGTAGGTTGGAGGCGGTTCAATGTAGATGGCACTTGTTACTACTAGTAAGGCACTTGTTACTAGTAGCGATGCACTTGTTACTACTAGCTTCTTGTTACTACTTGAACGCCAGAATTTGTTGTCCCAGTTTTTCTGGTTTTTGGTGTCGGAACTTGGATTCTCCAGAGGAGTGACAGCCGGGCCAGCGCCTCAGGTTTGTGTTCCCATGCAAATTCCGGTTGTTCGTGAGATGAGCATCAAGTAACTAAAGCTAATTAGCATTAATACATTAGGTGAGTTTTGTATTTTTTCAAGTTCTTTAGACGTTTATAGATATGTATATATATATATAATATATATATATATATTGTCGTTACTTTTTTTAGTTGTTTTCTTTCTTATTTATTTTTTTTTTTTAAAGAGGGTGGTAGGCCAAGAGGTGAGCTTAAGTAGCTATTGGGCTAAGTAATTAAAGTCGCAAGGACACTCCGCCGGACGCAGAAGCGCAGGCTAATAAGCTAAGTGGGTAGCAGCCAGCCACAAGAAACTACCAGCATCCACACGCTGTATGAAATAGTTTTGCCATTTCGGGGAACGGTGATGAAGTTAGCATGGGTTAGGTACCAGGTAAGTCAACCTTCTGAACCCATACAACCAAGTCAGAATCCACACCCAAAGACACTAAATCCCTCAAACGTGCATCACTTTCACACAAGCTACTAGGAGCAAAGGGCATCGCTACTAGGGCTCCTGGCCTTACTACTAGTGGTACGGAGAGCATTCTACACAGCCTATGGGAGTCACAGTGGTACGGAGAGCATTCTACACAGCCTATGGGAGTGTAGATTCGTCTCTGTCAGGGTCTGAGAACCAAAAGAGACTATATCTTAATGAATTGGTTCCTAATAGCGATGGCCTCCACCCTAGTAGCGATTGCCAGCATTGATATAGTTTTGGGAAAGACTAGGAACCAATTCATTAAGGCTCAGGCTTCTTCAGGCTTTGGGAGCTTTCTTCAACAAATCTCTGCATTCGTTACAAACATATTTTGATGGATCTAAGACGGTCTTGTCATGTCTTATGCATTATCAAAAGGGCTCCTGTTTTGTCCAAACCTCCTCTTTTCTCAAACTCTTTCCTTTACCAAGATCACATAGTGCCTTTCCAAGCTCCTGTTTGAAAGCCTTTCCCCTTGTAAAACGTTTGCAACCGTTTGTGAAAGCTCCTCCTCATTCAAGTTTTGGCCTTTAAACAAAACCGTTTGTAATGCTGAACCAACCAGTGTCAGCATTCATGAATCTTTTCTTTCCCAAGTTGAGTCATTTCCTTTGGGAAACATTTCTGCTAGGCTCTTTGCATCTCTCCTTTTTTGAACGGAGCTCTCTTTGATGGCCTCCAACCTAAGAGCGATGGCCTCCGCCCTAGTAGCGATGGTCTCGAACCTTCTAGCAATTGCGATGGCCTCCAAAGATTATCATCCTTTGGATTTTATTCACTTCTCAAGTCTCTTTGCCGCAAGCTTGCATTTGACAAATCCAGATGCTGAAAGTTTGCGATTCGCCTAGGTCTCAGACGAGTATATTTTCAAAAATATTTGCCCGGTATTAGCATGTCTTTTGCATCAAAGGATTTTCAGTGATCTTTTTGCGGTTTGCGCTGGGGAATGACTAGGAGCAAGGACGCAACTAGGGGCGAATGACTAGGAGCAAGGACGCTACTAGGAGCAAGGACTCTACTAGGGGCTCCTGGCATCGCTACTAGAAGCAAGAACGCTACTAGGAGCAATAGCGGCGCGTAGCCAGTTGCCTCAGTTCTCTGGATCCTTGTGCCCTTTGTTCAGGCACCGCGGGCTGCGTCCCGTTCGAGGTCACAATTCGTGTTTCAAATTGTTTTTGCCCAAACGAAACACACACACACACACACACACATTTGTTTCAATGTGTTTTCATTTCAAATTGGAAATGGTTATGGCCTGGTGTCTTGCGATGAAGCTGACATGCCAGGTCTGATTCTAGACGTGGAAACTCACGCAGGAGCTTGGATCGTTCAAGATTTTGAGAGTGCGCAATGAAGCCAGTGAACAAGCAGCAAGGAAAAATATGAAGAAAGAAAAAGGAAAAGAAAAAGGACACAGATCAGGTCTAAAGGTCTAAAAAAGACAAGAAGAAACGACCAGGCAAAAGAAAAGGGGACTAAAGCTCTAGAGGAAAAACACAAAATCGTGCACAATGGAGCCGGTGAACAAGCAGCTAAGAAGCCGGGTTGGATGATGATGGCTGGACATTGTATGCTAGAGGCCATCGTTAGTAGGTTGGAGGCCATTGCTTCTAGGTAGGGTGGGCAGAGAGGGCCTTTAAAATCACAAATTCATAACCCTACCCGCCCCCAACCCGACCCCCCTACAACATAACCCTGAAATAACCATGAAATAAGAAAATAACCATGAAATAACACTGAAATAACCTTGAAATAACTATGAAATAAGAAAACCTGGAAATAACCCTGAAATAGTGAGAAAAAACATGAAAAAACATAATTTTTAGATGACTTGTGAAGCTGCGCGTGTGGAGTCTCTTTTGTGAGTCCTCTCAGAAGGTGTGACGCCTGATCGTGGATCAAGGTTGTGAAAAGCAGCCAAGTTTTTCAATTTCAAGCGCTGCAATAGTATCACGAACATGTTGAAGAGGTGCGCAAAAGGCAAAGAATAAATAAGGACCTTGGATCAGACTCAATTAGCATCGGATGTTCATGTGAGAAAATTGAGATTGCTGCAGAATGCAGCCTGCGCCTCATGGATGATATGGAGGTCGAAGCGGTTGTCAAGGCGCCTTCAGATGATGGCGAAGCCATGGACATCGAAGAAGGAGCTGATGAGAACGATCAGGCGGCTTTAGTGGGGTTGATTGAGTGCATTTTGCCTCAAGACGTGCTGGTGACAATGGTTGATCCACATGGGGACACTCCAGATCGGGCGATTCAGGCACAATGGGCTGTGGTTCCACTCATGAGAAGAATATTCCGTGCCAAGAATGAAACCAAGCTCCATGTGCTCTTTACTGAGAAGTTTGCGGAAGTACAGGAGACTCATCGTGAGCTATGGCCTGGTTTCGGGCCTCCAAAAATGCTCCAATCGAAACACCAGAGGGCGACTGCAAATTCTGACAGTGAAGCTGAACCACAAATAGTGTACCTCAAGCAAAAGAGTGTACCTACTTCAATGGCGATGGCATGGCTAGCTTGGGGGGCATCCAAAAGCAGGAGAATGGCAGAAGACCGCTCAAGAACTTTGAGCTATCTCAAAGAACTGCTGGACCATGTGCTACAGAGGGCTGGGAAGCTGGATTTCCGCGTTGTAAAAATTGGAAGGCCACAAGATGGAGAAACTAGTGTGCAGGTGTCTGCAATGAACCCTTACCTCAATTCCAGACTGCTGTGGACGAAGAGCCAGGATTGCCGCATTGTCCCAACATGGGAGCTGTGCAGGATTGATTCAAAACATGCTGTGAGTTCAGGGGCTGACAGGCCACATTGGTTGGACATTGTCGCATTCGCTGTAGATTCAAAGGGCGGTCTCGCTCAACGTCTTCTCAAGCCTTTAGCTTTCACTCTCCTAGCTCAAGCAGCCAGTTGGATGGACGACAACATGAGCAGGCTGGCGCTGGAAGCTTCAGAATTTCAACGGACCGGTCGGAAGAATCGGTTTCAGAGCAAAGCTGCAAATTTTCTGGCTATGGTGCAGGCTGCAAATTTTCTGTTGCAGGAAAATGAGACTTTGGCTTACATTGGCGTAACTTGTCTCTTTCCTGACTAGTTTGCATGCTTAATTGTTCAAACCAACAAAAAATAGGGACCATAGGACCATAAGTTTTTATATATACATATTTATCTATTTAATGGTGTTATTTGTTTTGCGTTTGTCAAAACAATATATGGACTACTTGAGGCCGACCATGGGCTGACGCTGCGCAAATTGCTGGACGACAGAAAGCTGAACCATGTGACAGTGTCCAGGTTTGCTGCTATCGTGTGTGCCAGCCTGGCTTGTTTCCCATATCATTGCGCGCCACTCTTGATGCAATGTGTTCACAACATTACATAATATGTGAAGATTGCGTGCTATGGTTTTGAACCTAAACACATAGCACTTTATTTAAGCTGCACATCTGGAATGATAATCTGATAAGTGAAAGTGTTTTGTCAGGAAACCTACTGGAACCGCGCTCGAGCAGAACTTTCAACCTGCAACGTTTTCCATGCAGAGACCCCAGAAGACTCTTCTGCTCTGGGTCACCAGTTGAGTCCAAATAGAGAAACAAGACCTTTTCAGTTTTTTCACGCCCTCTGAGAAAGTTCAATTTGTCACTGACCAGCTCGCAGCCGGCTGAGATCTACATGGATGGGAGCAGCATAGCTGGACGGCCTACAGAGCTGGCCTTTCTCTGGGCGCCAGAGATTCAACATGGTGCTTACGCACCGCCAGTTGCAGGGGCACCCAGCAAAGTCAACTGGGGGTGGTGGCAGGGACACTTTAAACAACGGCCCGCATCGCAAGATTTGTGGTTCAGGTTCAACTAGAATGTATCACCTTTGAAATCCATGTTTTTTCCAGTTTTGGCCTTCTCACACAGGTTGCAACCAATGTTGTTTTGTAGCTGCGGTCAAGGAAACACACTCTTCACTAAATTACAGTAGATTAATCCGGTTTAAATGACCTTGCCATTGCCTGTTGCTGTGTGGGGCAAACTCACTGTCACCTTTTTGCCATGGACGAAGCTGCATCTGCTTCCTCGAGCCAATTCTCGAGATATACCCTGGAAGACTTGGGCACGTCTTCAACATCCAGTTCTTTGGATTCTTGGTTTCGTTTATCATATTGATTAGCTAAACTTTTGTTTCGACCTGAAATTTGCCTACTGAATGTTTTCCCAAGAAGCAACAAACGAGTCACAACACTATGTTGAACCCATCTGGGCTGAGAACATAAGGACCAACCTCAAGAAAGCCATGCTCTGTGTGCAGCCGCCGGAGCTCTGGATCTAGCGTGGGGAGCTTTGCTGGAGCGTGTGCCAATCAACAAGTTGGAGGAGTGTGGGGTTGGAGGAACGTTAGAGTTTTGTTTTTAAGGGTTGGTCCAGTTTACAAGAGGGGTTGCAAAGGTCATCGAAGTGGGTAGAGACATCATCATGCACAAACATCATTTCATCCATCGCCAGCCGCCCAAGCAAGCGCAGGAGTCAATGCTTGTGACAGCTCATCTGACATCCAGTAGCTGCACTGGGGCATTTACCTCAGAGATGAGCTTGGCTGCATTGGAAGTCACGATCAACAAATCTGGAAAGCTTCGAGTTCCAGTGAGTTTTAGACCCATCTCTTGCCACGACACTTGGCATCATGCTCAACAATTCGTAAAGGTGATTTTCAGCTTAGGGTCACGGAAAGGTTGAAATTCATCCTCAGTCTTGTTCTGTTTACGTTTGGTATGAGTGAAGTTTTGTGGATATGATAAGAATAAAAAAACCGGAGCTAGATGCTCGTTCTTTACACGACCCCGAGTCTAGCTCTCTTCAGGAGTGGGATGTTCATTGCCGTCAGCTCATCTTCGACCACTGCACTTGGCTTCGGAAGAACGCCGGGCTGCGCTGTAAAGACCCTTGTGTGTTTGGTGATTTGGAGGGGTGTATCCCACTGGGGACCTATCAGCCACAAGATTCTTTCCGAATCAAGTTCCACAAAGTCGATGCCGCCCCCATCTTTTTGACACAACACTGCTACACCCACAATGCGCAATGCCATTTTCGCTGCGCTGATCTAGAGATGGCGGGGTTACCTTGCTGGGACTACAGTATGGCTGGCAAACGTCTCCAGGAAAATGGCCCAACCATTGGGGCCTTCCTATCACATGCCAAGAGACATGTTCACCTTCAAACACCCCTTGTGATTGTGGAGAATGTCAAGGAGTCCCGGGTGTTTTCTGAAAAAGGACTTTGTTCAAACAACTTTTGAAAAGGGGCAACCCACTCCTGAGAAGGTCACATCAAGTCATCATGTCATGTGGACCCCTGGCCCCTGAGAACCTACGGCTGAAGCTTATTCGGGAACTCTATGGCAGCCATTACAGGATGCGTGTTCTCCGTGTGGATACGGATGACGTAGGTCACTCTGGCGTTCGGAGGGAGAGGGTCTACATCATCCTTTCGAATAAAACCTGCACTGTGGAAATCTTCGACCCAAACAATGTTTACAACCACATTGCTGGCAAAATCAGATCGACCATCCAAACAAAGCCTCGAGACTATTTCATTGCGAGCAAGCAAGAAGTACTTCTGGTCGCGAATGATTTGGCTGCGCGAAGGAATGCTAAGTTGGGAAGCGCTGCTACTTAGACATAAACTTGCAGGAGTCAGATGTTCTTGAGTTTTTCTTTTTTTGGCCAACCCGCTGTCATGGGGGCGAGTTTTCCTAGCAGGACTGGAATGGATAAGGGTCCATCTCCTCCATTTCAACCTGCCGCCAAGGTTCTTCAGAGCAAACGGCCAGATCTTTCACGTCTCCTCACACAGAGGGAGAAGCAGGTCATCAAGACCCTCAACCAGGAATACCGGCGCAGGTGGAAGCGAAACCCACAGGAAGACCAGGACTTAGTTTACTATCTTGGGGACAATGCTAAGAGGAAATGCTGGAGCGCTGTGAGTGGTCGTATCCCCACACTGAGGATGTCTGGAGGCCTGACGTGGTCTGTCCACAGGAAACGTTTTTTGACAGGCAGGGAGAAGCTGGGAACACTAGGATTCCCCGTCACACCTTCGATTGCAAAGAAACTTAAGGTTTCAACTCTGCCCGTCCTCGATGTTGCCAGGGCTAACTCAGTAGCAGGCAACTGTATGCACTTCACACAGGCTGCCATCATCCAGCTAGCGGCCCTGTCGAGCTACAGCCGCTCGAGTGTAAAGTCCTGAGCTGATCACCCATGCAGAGCCGGTCAAAAGATTGCTAGTTGTCCAGTTGGGGCACCCTCACAAGATTCTCAGTTCCC